GCGCGAGCCCCGCGCGTTTCTTCCTCGCCTGATTTCTCCACGCGCAAAAAAAAAAAAAAAGATGTTTGCAGCATGCCGCAACCTTTGCATTGCATGCATTGCTCCAAAGCAGCCTGGCCACCGGCTGTCAATTGGGAGATCTTGCAAAAGCGCCTTTCCTTTCTCCGCAATTGGCTTTATTTATTTATTTATTTTAATTTGATTTATATGCCGCCCTTCTTACAGTGCGTTAAGCAATAGCCTTCATACTTCTGTATATTTATACAAAGTCATCTTATTGCCCCCACAATCCGGGTCCTCATTTTACCTACCTCGAAAGGATGGAAGGCTGAGTCAACCTTGAGCCTGGTGAGAATTGAACTCGCAGTAATTGCAGGCAGCTGGCAGCTAAATACTACTTTAACAGTAGTTTAGTCCACTGCGCCACCAAGGCTCATTCTATCCTCCCCCCTTCTCTTCCCTGCCCAAACAGGCTGTAGAGATTCTCAGTCCTCCAGGTCATGGTTGTCCCAAAGATGCTTTTTTTCAGGAGGCAACTGGATTTTCTGGTTTTTCTTTGAAGACGTTTCCCTTCTCAGCTCTGAGAAGCTTCTTCAGCTCTGACAGGGGGGTGGGGAAGGGAAGGTGACCCCGAGGACACAGATAAACTTCCAAGTGGCCTCAATGAATCTCTAAAACAGTGTTTCTCAACCTTGGTAGCTTGAAGATGGGTGGACTTCAACTCCCAGAATCCCCCAGCCAGCAGCGCTGGGAGTTGAAGTCCACCCATCTTCAAGCTTCCAAGGTTGAGAAACACTGCTCTAAAAGGATGCAAACGACCAGCTGTCTGCAAGGAATATAAATCCTTCCATTCCCCACCATTTGGTCAGAGATGAAGAAACTTCTTGGGTAAGAAGTGAAACATCTCGAAAGAAAAACAAGAAAGTCCAGTTGCCTCTTGGAAAAAAAGCACTTTTGGGGTATAACTGCCTAGTTGAGGAACGTATGACTTTGTTTGACAAAATGAGTCAACCTTTTCCCCAAAGTACCCGAAGGCCAGACAAGGAATCATGGATGGAAACTGAGAGATTCAACCTGGAAATAAGAGAAATTTTCTGACAGTGAGAACAATCAACCAATGGAACAGAAGTTGCCTTCGGAAGTTGTGGGAGCTTCATCACTGGAGGCTTTCAAGAAGAGACTGGACTGCCATCTGCCGGAAATGGTGTAGGGCCTCCTGCTTGGGTAGGGGGTTGGACTAGATGACCTACAAGGTCCCTTCCAACTCTGTTAATCTGTATCTGTACGCACTCATTTAGACTAGAAGTGGTATGGCAGCACTTGGGGGCTGTCGCAGAGAAAAGGGGATCAATTCATTCTCCAAAGCACCTGAGGGCAGGACAAGAAGTAAAGGGGGGAAGGTCGTTAAAGAGGGATCCAACCCAGGAGGAATTTTCTGACAGAGAGAACTATTCTGAGCCTGGTGGCGCAGTGGACTAAACTGCTGTTGTTAAAGTAGTACTTACCTGCCAGCTGCCTGCAATTACTGCGAGTTCGAATCTCACCAGGTTCAAGGTTGACTCAGCCTTCCATCCTTCCGAGGTAGGTAAAATGAGGAGCCGGATTGGGGAGGCAATAAGCTGACTTTGTATAAAAAAGAACACCGCTTGGGGGGGGCGAAAGCCCTACTAAGGAGGTATATACAAAAGTATGGAGGCTATTGCTTAATGCACCTGAGTCTCCGGAGAAGGGCGGCATATATAAATCGAACTAATAAATAAATAAATATTAAGCAGCGGAACAGCTTGCCTCCTGAAATTGTGGGTGCTCCATCGCTGGAGGTTGTCAAAAACAGACTGCTCTAATTTTTGAATGTGGGTGCATATAGATCGGTGTTTCTCAACCTTAGCAGCTTGAAGGTGTATGGACTTCAACTCCCAGAATTCCCCAGCCAGCAAGGAAATGATTCACTCAATGGAACACAACCCTACTTAAGTCAGAGAGCAATGAAATTTCAGGGGCAGAATTTTAGTCAGTGCTGCTGAAGGACCATATCTGGACTGCCTGATGTTTGTAAACTGGAGGAGAAGAAACGTTTAGCTTTGCAAGTTTTTATTACCCTCGTTATTTGTGGGTCCCCCTCCACTCAATATGACCCATTAAAGTTCAATAAATGTTGGATGTTTTGCTGTTTTTTTTTTTAAAGTGCCGGTTAACTTGGGTTGTCACTTTCCTTGCAAGTAGGAGTTGGTGTTTCCCCACATTCTGTGTCTGCAGAAGAGAGAGGGAGAGGGGGGGAAGGGAGGGAGGGAGAGAGGGGGGGAGGGAGGGGGGGAGGGGGAGAGAGAGGGGGGAGGGAGGGATAGCGAGGGGGGAGGGAGGGGGAGACAGAGACACAGACAGAGACAAAAACCAAGACCTGATGGCCTAGAGGTGGAGCTCTTGCCTCACAATCAGGAGGTTGTGAGTTCGATCCTAGGTAGAGGCAGATGTAGGGTCTCCTGCTTGGGCAGGGGGTTGGACTAGATGACCTGCAAGGTCCCTTCCAAATCTGTTAAATCTGTTAAACACACACACACAAACACATATCACACCCTTGTCCTCCAAGGTAATAAAATAATTATTAAGTTCCTTGCCCTTTGTTTTATACTCAAGTCTTTGAAACAAAACGAAATCCACTATTTGTTTTGAAAGGTGACTGGAAAGGAAAAAGAAATAAACTTTGCAACTCCTTAATCACGTGGTTTCAAACTGGACTTCAATTTCCCAGAATTTCCCCAACCAAGCTTTCTGGGAATTGAAGTCCACACATCTTCAAGCCAGCCTTGAGAAACAATGGACCAGACTAGAGTAACTCTTCTTTCTTGGTAAGAATTGTTCACTTTTGCCTATCTTGGTGTAGGAAGTTAGCACCCACCCCTTTCCTGGAAGAATGAAATATTTTAGGAAATATTAAAAAGGCAGAATATTATGTTTCCTTGGATGAGAAATGGAGAAGCATGTTTTAAAGACAAAGCAGCTCCCACCTTCCTGACCCCACCCTTTTGTTAATGGGCCAGAGGCAGAAACTCAATCTTTGTCAATGGACCACATCTAGCAACAGAAACTCACAAAATAGGACCCATCTAGCCACAGAAACTCACTGTCAACTTGCAAAGCTTTCAAGTTGCCATGAGCAGGAGGGCATCTTTCGGAAACTTCACACTCACCACATGGCACCTGGGAAGATTAGATCAGCCAGCAAGGCTAGCTAAGACCCTCCACCCCCTGGGAGTCTGACAAGCAATCAGGAAGCTCTTTCTGGGCCCCAGGAAGTTCAAAGCCAGAGAGGGCATAAAACCTGGGGACTCACACCATCTCTGCCCTTTTCTGTTCAGGAACTCAAGCCATGTGATCCTGTCCACCATTAAACCATCTTTCCAAGCAGTCTCCATGTTTCCAGTGTCTTTTTCCCCACTTGGAGATGAACCCAGAAGGATATTTCTTCCTACATTGGCACAGTGTTTCATATCTATAAAAGATACAGGACATCAGAGTTGGAAGGGACCTTGGAGGTCTTATAGTCCCAACCCCTGGTCAAGCAGGAGATCCTACACCACTTCAGACAAATGGCTGTCCAGTCTCTTAAAAGCCTCCAGTGATGAAACACCCACTACTTCTGCAGGCAACCCATCCCATTGATTAACTCTTCTTATTGTCATCCCAGTCTTTCTTTTCACCAGACTACATATATGCAATTCCTGCAATTGTTATTCATATGTTTTAGCCTCCAGTCCCCTAATCATCTTGGTTGCTCTTCTCTGCACTCTTTCCAGAGTCTCAACATCTTTTTTTATATTGTGGCGACCAGAACTGGATGCAGTATTCCAAGGGTGGTCTTACTAAGGCCTTATAATTATCATATAATTATATACTAGCTGTACCCGGCCACGCGTTGCTGTGGCCCAGTCTTGTGAGTATACAATATTTTTTGACTGAGTGCCAATAATGTCCCTCTGTAGCTCAAGTCACGCCTACTTTGCCTCCGTCCCAGTTTGCCGTGGGTGTAAGAGCTGCTTTCCCAGCTTGCCGGTATAACCGCCTTCACCTTCGCAGCTCTCCGCATCACAGGCGGCATCGGGGTCCCTGCCAAAGGTACGGCATACTCCATTAGTCAAGAGGACGCTTGGCAGCGGTTGACATTTGCCGCCATTTTGCTTGTGGGTTTGGCGGCGGCGGAGCTGAGGGGAAAAGACCCGCGCCTGCCATTGTGGCGCTGCGACGTTAAAGATTGCTGAAGATAGTATAGCGTGTGTTGCTTTTACGTCCAACAGATGGTGCTGATTTTCAAAAAAGCATGTTTTTACCTGTCACAGGTGTGACATCTATATAATATAGGTATATAAAAACACATGTGTATTCGAATGCAACGTTGTGTTAAAATTTCAAAGCAATCGGTGAAGAACTTTCGGAGATTTAGGATTTTGAACAAAAGAACATTTACATTTTTATTTATATAGATTATAGGCAGGAGCCTGGGTAGCTCTGCAGACTAAGCACTGTAATTTAACACCAGCTGTCTGCAATTAAAGTAAGTTCGAATCTCACCAGGCTCAAGGTTGACTCAGCCTTCCATCCTTTCTAAGGTAGGTAAAATGAGGACCCGGTTTGTGGGGGCAATAAACTGACTTTGTATAAAATATACAAAAGTATGAAGGCTATTGCTTAATGCACTGTAAGCCGCCCTGAGTCTCCAGAGAAGGGAGATACATATATATATGTATTGTAAGGCCTTATAATTATATCATCTGCATTTTTGAACTGCACCCACGAAGTTCTACGAAATGCCTCGTCCAAGTGGAGCTGCACCTGTTTAATAGCCGCCACATTCTGATTAATAGTGGCAGCCCAAGAACCTGTTTAAGAATCCTGCTGCAACTCTGAGACACTCTACACAGAATGCTGGGGGGGGAGGGGTTAAAAAAAAGAACTATGCAAAATATCTGCTGCTGCTTTTATTGATATTCCATCATTGAGTAGTGTTAGTTATTAGCAAGGGTGGATTCAATGAAGGGCAGAAGTTCCGTAACACGGGCATACACCCCCGGCCTGGAGGGAGAGCAGGTGCTGCTGCCCCAGGAGACGATCCCAACCAGATTCCAGGCTCCATTCTTCTGGCAGACCAGAGGACCACCAGAATCGCCCTGCAGGAGAAACCAGAGAAGAATGTCATCAGTGGCTGCTTGAACGTTGGGTTGGATGGGACTTTGGAGGAGGTCACAAGGGGCAGATCTTCAAGGATGGAAACATGGGCCTTGAGCAGGTCTTTGCTTCCTAAAACCAAAGCAGAATGGCCGGGGAAAGCCAACTCCAGGGACAAACAAGGACCAGAAAAGACTTGGAGACCTTTATAATACAAATTCATTGACTCTCTGAAGATGGTGAGAACTTAATAATGACTTAATAATAACAGAGTTGGAAGGGAGCTTGTAGATCTTTTAGTCCAACCACACCCTGCCCAAGCAGGGGACCCTACACCATTTCTGACAGATGGCAGTCCAGTCTCTTCTTGAAAGCCTCCAGTGATGAAGCTTCCACAACTTCTGAAGGCAACTTCTGTTCCGTTGGTTGATTGTTCTCACTGTCAGACAATTCCTCCTTATTTCCAGATTGAATCTCTCCTTGATAAGTTTCCATCCATTATTCTTTGTCTGATCTTCAGGTGCCTTAGAAAATAGCTTGATCCCCTCCTCTCTGGGGCAGCCCCTCAAATATTGGAAGACTGCTATCCTGTCTCCCTGGTCCTTCTCTTCACTAGACTAGCCATGCCCAGTTCCTGCAACCGTTCATTGTATGTTTTAGCCTCCAGTCCCTTCATCATCCTGGTTGCTCTTCTCTGCACTTTTTCTAGAGTCTCAACATCTTTTTTATAGTGTGGTGACCAAAACTGGATGCAGTACTCTAGGTGTGGTCTTACTAAGGCTTTATAGAAGGGTATTAGTACCTCCCTTGATCTTGATGGTATCCCTCTGTTCATGCAGTTTAGGATTGCATTGGCTTTTTTGGCTGCCACCACACACAGCTGTCACATATTTAGCTGGTTGTCCACTAAGACTCCAAGATCCCTCTCACAGTCACTGCTATTAAGCCTGGTTTCTCCCAATCTACATCTGTACTTTTGGTTTTTCTTGCCTAAGTATAGGACTTTACTTTTCTCCACATTGAATTTCATTTTGTTAGATAGGGCCCAGTGTTGGAGTCTGTCAAGATCCATCTGGATGTTGAGCCTATCTCCCCACAATGTACCAATGCTTGTCTAGAAGTTTACCAAGTGGGGGACATGAAGTTAGCAAGGCAGGACTAAGGAAATGAGAGAAGAATCAAAGATGGTTTTGTAACTTAAGACCTGCTCTAAGGAGCGGAGAGCAGGGATTCTAGGAAGATACACAACCACCGCTAGAAATTACAGACTGAGATGATCAGAAAAAAGCCATACCATGCAAGAAGATGCCCCTGCAGCTCCAGCACAGACCATCACGTCAACGATGCGGTTGCCCCAAAATTTCTTGCACTCCTGATTGGTCAGCAGAGGAAGAGCCACCTGTTGCAATTTGTTGGGTGAGACCCTGTCTGAAATAGATCAAACGCATAGGAATGAGACAAGACGCCCTCATTTTTATCTCTGACACAATGCTGGAAATGTCCTCAAACACCAGGATCTTACTACCATATGTGGTGGACTTGTCCCGAAGCAAAAAAGTATTGGTTCAAGATTAAAAGCTGGCTGGAAGAAATGATACAACAACGTATTGAATTTAAACCAGAGTTGTTCCTACTGGGTATCTTTCCAGAAAAAAATAGTAAGGAAAATGTAAATTTGATTATACAAGGAATAACAGCTGCAAGAATTGTGTATGCTCAAAATTGGAAATCAGAGAAAACACCCTTGGAAGGAAAAAATAATTTAAAAAAATTTAGACTGTGCAGAAATGAATAGATTAACCTTGATGATTAAAGATAAGGAGGAATCTGAATATTTTAAAACATGGAATTATTTTTATAGTTGGTTGGAAAAGAGATATAAATATTGATACTATAAATGTGTATAAATGATGACTATAATATTGATTTAGAAATGAAATGTTAGAATAGTTTGGATGAATGTGAAGATAGAAGAAACTCATGGAAGATGGAAAAGAAGCTTAGAAGATAACACCGAGGCGTCACAGGGAAGGGAGGATTGATGTATTAAATGTTTGTTTGTCTTAAAAAATAAAAAAAAAATATTATAAAAAAAATATTTATCTCTGATGCTTGGCTCGGGGATGAATCCATGCAGATTTCTCAGTTTTAAAACCCTTGAAATAAGATTTTCTTTTGTTCCAATCTTGATGGACTTTGTAGCAGCATGGGTTCTCATGTGAAATGGACTTTGCTGGCTTCTAGCTTTCGTCCATCAATGGGAAAAAAATAAAGTTTTGGAAGTTGCATAGAAACTGTAGCATTTACTTTTCAAAAAAAAGACTGAAGTTGGAGTTTGGGCCTTTAGAAAGCTTGCTTTGGAGAAATTAAATAATAAAGTACCAGAAAAGTAGGTTAAAGGGAATATATATTTAATATTACATGTTTTGACAGCAGCAAGAATTGTATTTGCACAGTATTGGAAAAATGAGGAAACACCTAGAGAAGAAGATGTAATTTAAAAAATTTTTCAGATTGATTGACATTAAGGATAAAAGAAAAAGAAGATGCAGAATATTTTTGGACTTGTTTTACAAATGGTTGGATAACAGAGGTAGAAATTAGGAGCGGAAAAGTATTATTATATAAGCAAAATGATCCAGACTACGCTGTTCACTAAGAACCTGTGTATGTAAAATGAAAATGTATAAATAAATCATTTTAAAAAATGAATAAAGAATTCAGGGAGAAATTAGTTAGCAATGTATGTTGGGAGAAGGTGTAAAATATTAATGATATTCAGCTTATATTGAAACTCTAAGGTTTTTTTCTCTATAGTAGAATAGAAAACTGCTAGCTAATTGATTGACTACATAGCATCAGGTCGTAGTTCAGTGTTAGCAACCACATATAAGTAATCCTCAACTTACAACCTGCCCTTTAGCAATTATTCAGAATTATGACAGACCTCCCTAGAGGTACTTAGGACCTGGTTCCAAAGTTCCAACATCTGCCCCCTCACAGTTACATAACCACTATGTCAAGCACTAGGCAACCAATAGTACTTAGACTCATATACCGCTTCACAGTGCTTTCCAGCCCTCGCTAAGCAGTTTTACAGAGTCGCCTATTGCCCCCAACAATCTGGGTCCTCATGTTACCGACCTCGGAAGAATGGAAGGCAGAGTCAACTGTGAGCCGGTGAGGATCGAACTCCTAGCAATCGGCAGAGTCAGCCTGCAGTACTGCATTCTGACCACTGCGCCCACCAGAGCTCTATTTACCGCCATTATTTACATACAGCTTCTATTTACTGCCGTTTACTGTGTCCCACAGTTATGCAAAGCATTTTATGATGTTTTTGCCAAAACCCAGGAATTTACTTCCTGTTTTCAACAAAACTAGGCCATAGTAAACAATTGGGTCATTTAACCCCTGTGATGCTCACTTAACGACTGCCGCAAAAAAGTTTGTAAAATTGGGTAGGTCAAGTGTGTGACCTGCTTTACGACAGTTGGAAGTCAAGGAGATAGACTTTATCCATACTGATCTGTCCGAAACCTGGCTAATTGCAAGAATAATAACAGAATAACAGAACAGGATAACAGAGATGGAAGGAACCTTGGAGGTCTTCTAGTCCAACCTACTGCTTAGGCAGGAAACCTTACACCATTTCAGACAAATGGTTGTCTAATCTCTTCTTAAAAACTTCCAGTGTTGGAGCATTTACAACTTCTGGAGGCAAGTCATTCCGCTGATTAATTGTTCTCACTGTCAGGAACTTTCTCCTTAGTTCTAAGTTGCTTCTCTCCTTGATTAGTTTCCACCCATTGCTTCTTGTCCTGCCCTCAGGTGCTTTGGAGAATAGCTTGACTCCCTCTTCTTTGGGGCAGCCCCTGAGATAATGGAACCCTGCTATCATGTCACCCCTAGTCCTTCTTTTCATTGGGACTAGGAGTGACATGATAACAGTGTTCCAATACTTGAGGAGCTTCCTCAAAGAAGAAGAGTGTCAACCTATTCTCCACAGCAGCTGAAGGCAAGACAAGAAGCAACGGGTGGAAACTCATCAAGGAGAGAAGCAGTCAAGATAAATAAAATGACCCAGATGTCTGTTCATCAGAATGTTCCTTCCTGTCTCTTTTACTGCCTATCCCCAAGAAAGAGAGTCCCCGTTTTACCAGTATGAAGCAAGTATCCCCATCCACTGGTGACGCAGGTCATCCCACCAGGGAAAGCGTCGGTGGCTTTTGGGAGACACACAGGAGATACGCGAGCCGTCAGCCGTGCTGGAGTGGCCAACTTGAGCAACATGATGTCATTTTGGATGGTGAACATGTTATACCGGGGGTTTTTGAAAACCTAACCGAGGAAAGAAAGAAAAGGGTTTAGTTAAAGCCAAGAGAAAGCTGGGATCATCTCTTGGAAACGGCTCTTGTGGCAACGATTACACAAATGGTAAAATCTCTCTGGATTCCCATAGATTACAATGGACACATCTCTGCATTGTCTTGATGGTTTGTCCATTTTATTTTTATTTTATTTATGTGCTGCCCAGAGACAATTCTGGGTGGCTTACAAGCATTAAAACTAGTATGCATTAAAATAATAATAAGAGCACGTTTCGTCGTGCTCTCAAAACATTTTTATTTCAGCAGGCTGGCCTGGCCTAACTCTCCCTTTTAAATTTTTAAATCGTTTAATTTGTTTTATAAATTGGGTGTTTTAAATTTTCGGCCACCGCCCTGAGTCCTCCGGGAGTAGGGCGGTATAGAAATTTGATAAATAAATAAATAAATAAATAAATAAATAAATAAATAAATAAATAAATAAATAAGAAATTTGATAAATAAATTAAATAAATAAATAAATAAATAAATAAATAAATAAATAAATAAATAACAGTAATAAGGTAAAGGTAAAGGTTTCCCTCGCACATATCTGCTAGTCGTTCCCGACTCTAGGGGGCAGTGCTCATCTCCATTTCAAAGCAGAAGAGCCAGCACTGTCTGAAGATATCTCCATGGTCTTGTGGCCAGCATGACTCAATGCCAAAGGCGCACGGAACGCTGTTACCTTGCCACCAAAGGTGGTCCCTATTTTTCTGCTTGCATTTTTTCGAACTTCTAGGTTGGCAGAAGCTGGGATAAGTAACGGGAGCTTAACCCGTTATGCGGCACGGGATTCGAACCACTGAACTGCCAACCTTCTGATCGATAAGCTCAACATCTTAGTCACTGAGCCACCGTGCCCCCCTAGAATAACAGCTACCGTTAAAAGATGGGGATGAGGGGAACAAGAAATATATGAGTAGAGGTGGGGTCTTTCCTAATCCAATGGCCCCTTCCAGAAGGCTGCAGCCCCCATGGGCAGGAGGGGGCAAAACTAGGTCTTCTTCAAAGGTAGGTTTTCAACCTCCCAGCAGAGTTTATAGAGCTGGGTTTCTCTAATCTCCCATCCAAATACTAACCAAGTCTGAACCTGCTTCGCTTGTTACATCATCCAAAAGTTGGCTAGCTGTGGCCATCAACCTGGATTGCCTCCTGATGAAGTTCCACTCCTGATGACTTCATGAACATCTCCAGAAGTGGTGGGCCATTGAGTTTCTTCTAGGTTGTCTAATCAACAGCCTAATTTCTTTCCATGTTCCATGTCCACAATGCTCTTTGTTACAAGCCATGCATTCATGAAGCCACCTATTCAGACTGAGCCCCCCAAAAATCTAGTTTAGCATCCTTGTTGTGCTGCTCATTCTCCAAGGCTGTGCAACCTGATGGGCATTTTTGTCCCTCCCCATGCTTCCATGTCACAGTTGCCCTGCTCACCTTGGCTATCTTGATGATTTGAATGTCTTCCTCAGGAGCACTTTTGTCAAATGCACCCAGCACCACCAAGTGGCTTGTCCTGGCACGGAAGTGGAAAATTAGGAAAAAAGATATCCATTCATTAATTAAGAATCCGCTATGCAGCTGGATAAAATCAAGGAAGCAGGAATTAGACAGATTTCACCTGGAATAAATACCAAATAACCATCAAATGCTGTGTTTTCCAACCTTTAAGATGTATTGACCAACTCCCATTCTGCGAGTAGAAGTCCACATGTCTTAAAGTTGCCAAGGCTGAAAAATACTGGTCTAAAAACACCAGTTTGAAGCCACTTATATCCCCAGTCACAACTACGGTACTAGGGGTTAACATCCATAACATTTTAGCCATTCTGGAACTGACACAGTTTAGCCCAGTGTTTCTCAACCTTGGTAGCTTGAAGATGGGTTTCCTGCTTTCTAGCAAATATAAACCGTGCGACACAGCTGATCGTTGGAAATATCGGTTTTTATCACTACCGGTTTTAGCCCGAAACGGTACAAACCGTTTTAGCCTCCAGTCCCCGAATCATCAGGGGTGTGAAACTTGATTTAATTGAGGGCCACATCAGGGTTGTTTTTGACCTCGGGGGGGCGGGGGCGTGGCCAGCTTGACATTACTCATGTCGGGGCGCTTGTGGTGGCCCAAGGGCTCTGCCAGTGAAAACGGGCTCCCAAACTCCGCTTTCGACTGTGACGGCTTCCTGGAATCCTCTGCCAATGAAAGCAGAGCTCGGAAGAGCCGCACGTGGTCCTCACAAGCTCTGTTTTCAGCTGCAACAGCCTCCTGCAACCCTCTGCGAGAGAAAACGGAGCTCTGTTTTTGCTGGCAGAGGCATCACGGGCCAGTTCTTCGCTGTTTCCAGGGCGACCCCATGGGCCAGATCTAAGCACCCTGCGATCTGATCTTGGTTATTTTTTTCTGCACTCTTTCTAGAGTCTCAACATCTTTTTTAATTATTGTGGTGACCAAAATCAGATGGAATATTCCAAGTATGGATCATTAAGAGTCTTAATGATTTTCTAAGAATAGCGATGAGGCCCATGCACAACACAGAAGTTTTTGATAAAGTGAAAATTAAGCTTAAGTGAAAATTAAGCCACATGCCAGCTTCCCACTTTCAATTAAGAGTTTTTACGTTGTCTAGGAAACTCTTTCTCAAGGGCCTTGTGGTCTATGACCTCTAAATATTGACCCCAAGCTTAGAAAGGATCTAGTTCCTCAAAGAGCCTTGGTAGTACAGGGGTTTAAGGCACCCTGTTATTAAGCTGGTTATTAAGACCAGCTGCCTGCAATTACTGCAGGGTTCGAATCTCTCCAAGGCTCAAGGTTGACTCAGCCTTCCATCCTTTCTAAGGTAGGTAAAATGAGGACCCAGTTTGTGGGGGCAATAAGCTGACTTTGTATAAATATACAAAAGTATGAAGGCTATTGCTGAGCACATTGTAAGCCGCCCTGAGTCTTCGGAGAAGGGCGGCCTATAAATTAAATTTAAAAAAAAAAAAATTGAACCCCAGAATCTCTCTGGTTAGATCTTCCACGAGCACCATTCTTACCTGATACCGCAGTGGGCAGCAGTGACCACCCAATTCTCATTGATCAGAGAACCTCCACAGAAATGGTAGCCAGTGTTGTCCTGCAGAATGGAGGAGATTGGGTGGATTGTGAGAAAAAGGTCCCGAGATGCTCAGCTTCTCAGCTCACCAGCCCTCTGGGCTGTAGACCAAAATTGTCAAAAGTTTATCTACCCCACTCATCCTCCCCATGTTTGCCACCTGTCCTGATGAAGCGCTCCATGGCATAGGACCCGGGTACCTCCGAGACCGTCTTCTGCCACCAATAGCCTCCCACCGACCAGTCCGTTCCCACAGAGAGGGTCTCCTCCGGGTGCCATCGGCCAAGTTATGTCGGCTGGCGACGCCCAGGGGGAGGGCCTTCTCTGTGGGAGCCCCAGCCCTGTGGAATGAACTGCCCCCGGAAATTCGTAAGATCTCCGACCTCTGGGTGTTTCGCTGCGCACTGAAGACCCTGTTGTTCCGCCAGGCCGGACTATCAACACAATAGTTTTAAATTGGGGTATTTAAATTTTTTGGGGTTTTAAATCTGAGCCAATTTATTTAATTATTTTAAATTTTACATTGCTGTTTTGTCTGTGTTTTTAAATAGGCTGTACACCGCCCTGAGTCCTTCGGGAGAAGGGCGGTATAGAAATAAAATTATTATTATTATTATGACCAGAATTGTAATAAGAGTTCTCTTCTCCATCACTTTAGATCAATGATGTTCAACCTTAGCAACTTTAAGATGGGTGGACTTCAACTCCCAGAATTCCCCAACCAGCAAGGCTGGCTGGGGAATTCTGGGAGTTGAAGTCACCCATCTTAAAGTTGCCAAGGTTGAGACATTTCTTTTTAGGTCATTGCATCTGCTGCATCTTATCCCAGCAGAAGTTCTCACCTGGCACCAAAAGGTACGTCATTTTTTGACTCTCCACCCAATGCAATAGCAATAGCCCTTAGACTTATATACCGCTTCATGATGCTTTGCAGCCCTCTCTAAGTGGTTTACAGAGTCAGCCTATTGCCCCCAACAATCTGGGTCCTCATTTTACCAGCCTCAGAAGGATGGAAGGCCGAGTCAACCTTGAGCCACTCTGGCAGTCAGCAGAGTCAGCCCACAATGCTGCATTCTAACTACTGCATACCATGAATAGATGGATGGATAGATGGCAGGCAGGCAGGCAGGCAGGCAGGCAGGCAGGAAGGAAGGAAGGAAGGAAGGAAGGAAGGAAGGCAATAGTAATAGCACTTAGTCTTATATACTGCTCATAGTGCTTTCCAGCCCTCTCTAAGCAGTTTACAATATCAGCCTTTGCCCCCAACAATCTGGCTCCTCATTTTACCCACCTTGGAAGGATGGAAGGCTGAGCCAACCTTTGAGCCAGTCAGCATCAAACTCCTGTCAGTGGGCAGAGTTAGTTTGCAATACTGCATTTTAACCACTGTGCACCATGGGTGGGTGAGAGGAAGGAAGGAAGGAAAGGGAAGGAAGGAAAGGAAGGAAGGAAGGAAGGAAGGAAGGAAGGAAGGAAGGAAGGAAGGAAGGAAGGAAGGAAGGAATAGCAACAGCCCTTGGACTTATATATCGCTTCACAGTGCTTTCCAGCCCACTCTAAGCAGTTTACAATATCAGCCTCTTGCCCCAACAATCTGGGTCCTCATTTTACCCACCTTGGAAGGATGGAAGGCTGAGCCAACCTTTGAGCCAGTCAGCATCAAACTCCTGTCAGTGGGCAGAGTTAGTTTGCAATACTGCATTTTAACCACTGTGCACCATGGGTGGGTGAGAGGAAGGAAGGAAGGAAGGGAAGGAAGGAAAGGAAGGAAGAAGGAAGGAAGGAAGGAAGGAAGGAAGGAAGGAAGGAAGGAAGGAAGGAAGGAATAGCAACAGCCCTTGGACTTATATATCGCTTCACAGTGCTTTCCAGCCCACTCTAAGCAGTTTACAATATCAGCCTCTTGCCCCCAACAATCTGGGTCCTCATTTTACCCACCTTGGAAGGATGGAAGGCTGAGCCAACTTTGAGCCAGTCAGCATCAAACTCTGTCAGTGGGCAGAGTTAGTTTGTTTGCAATACTGCATTTTAACCACTGTGCACCATGGGTGGGTGAGAGGAAGGAAGGGAAAGGGAAGGAAGGAAAGGAAGGAAGGAAGGAAGGAAGGAGGAAGGAAGGAAGGAAGGAAGGAAGGAAGGAAGGAAGGAAGGAATAGCAACAGCCCTTGGACTTATATATCGCTTCACAGTGCTTTCCAGCCCACTCTAAGCAGTTTACAATATCAGCCTCTTGCCCCCAACAATCTGGGTCCTCATTTTACCCACCTTGGAAGGATGGAAGGCTGAGCAACCTTTGAGCCAGTCAGCATCAAACTCCTGTCAGTGGGCAGAGTTAGTTTGCAATACTGCATTTTAACCACTGTGCACCATGGGTGGGTGTGAGAGGAAGGAAGGAAAGGAAAGGAAAGAAAGGAAAGGAAAGGAAAGGAAAGGAAGGAAGGAAGGAAGGAAGGAAGGAAGGAAGGAAGGAAGGAAGGAAGGAAGGAATAGCAACAGCCCTTGGACTTATATATCGCTTCACAGTGCTTTCCAGCCCACTCCTAAGCAGTTTACAATATCAGCCTCTTGCCCCCAACAATCTGGGTCCCCATTTTACCCACCTTGGAAAGATGGAAGGCTGAGCCAACCTGGAGCCTGGTGGGATTTGAACTGCCAAACTACTGGCAGCCGGCAGTCAGCAGAAGTAGCCTGCATGACTACACTCTAACTTCTGCGCCATCACCAACTCATTTGGTGTTCTAAATTTCTAGGCAAAGCAAAGCAGGTGCTGCATTCTTACCTGCAGGGAGACCTGCCAAGGCCATGAGCCGGGCACGGCATCTTCCCCATTGACTATCCGGGCATAGCCACTGATTGAAGGAGTGATGGCGGGAACACCACAACCTGGCAATGAATCAGAACGTTAATCCCAAAGTGGTTCTTTGACCTGGACTCAGACCTGGGAACGGAATGAACCTGTTTGTCAACCTTGAAGCTGACCTGACCAAAGCCATTTTTGGAGCTTCAGTGTTGCCACACTGGGGCTGAGGGACAGGGGAATAGAGATAGCTGGGGTTTTGTAGCCAAAACGAAATACTTTCTCCTGGGAACTAAGGACGTTCTCACATCTGGTCGGAGAGAGGAGGGGTGACATTACCAGGCAACCTGATTGGAGGATGTAGCTGATTGCTTGGGGAAGGGGAAAAGCTTTACTTTTAATTAGATGAAAACTGCAGGAATCTTCAGAGTCGGTTTTCACTAGAACTGTGCCAATATGATATATCCTGCCAAGTTTCGAGGTCGTCTCAAATAAATTGCATTTCAAACAAAGTCTTTGATGAAAAACTCCCATTTATTAAGCACGACATTCTAACTCCGACTCCATCGTAGCCAACACTGACTTCCTGACCCAAAACCCTCCCTTTCCTTTCCCCACTCCTCTGCACTCATTGGCCATCTTCCAAGTCACTCTACCTCTAATCTACTGCTCCAGCTCAAAGGAATTTCCCCCCTCCCATCCCATCTCCTAGGGGATATTATCTCCAGGGAAAATAAGTAGGTGAAAAGTCAAACATCCCTTTCCAGATGCCTCCGCTTCTGCTTCTTAGGTCAGCACTAGAGTAAATGCAGCTTGAAGTGCTGAGATCGCCAATAAAACTATTCTTTAAGGAATCTACTGGCCTCGGAATTTTGTTTGCTATGAGATTATTATTTGGAACCTTGACACTGTTATTGCCAACGGTAGAGCAGAGGAGAAATGCTACCGGTTCGGGCCGGTTCACCCAAGCCGGTAATAAAAAATGCTACTGGTTCACCGAACTGGTAGTAAAAAAAGTTTTTTAAAAAAGTTCCAAAGATCAGCTGAGCAACGTGCGATGGTTGGAACCTTTTTTTTTTTTTTTTTTACTTTTTAAAGCATTTTTAACTACCAGTTCCAGAGAACCAGCAGTAAAAAAATGCTTAAAAAGTTAAAAAAAAAAGTTCCGACCATCGTGCGTCACTCAGCTGATCTTCGGAACTTTTTTTTTTTTTACTTTTTAAGCAATTTTTACTTTTTTTAAAAAAAGTTTTTGATTTTTATTTTTCATAAACAAATTTACATGTACAGTCATTTCCATCATTTTTCATTCATCTTTTCTTTTAACTTTCATTTTTACTTTTTACGTTTTCGGGGCTGCTCTTTTACCCTTTACCCTTACTCCAACCTTTCTTCTTCTCCTCCCCTTCTCTTCCCCTGTTTCTCCTCTTACTTCCTTCGCTCTTCCTCTCCTTCTCTTTCCTACTTCCCCTTCTCTTCTCCCACTCTTCTCTTCTTCCCCCCTTCTAACCTTCTCCTCTACTTCTCTTTCCCCTCCCTCGTCTTCCTCTCCTTTTCCCTTTCTTCTTTCTCCTCTCCTCTCCTCTTCTCTCCTCTCCTCTCTTTTCCCTTCCTCTCTCTCTACTCCTTCCTGGCTCTCCTGTTGTTTCCCTTTTCAGTCCAATCTAAAGTGGTATCTCTGGAGCCAGTAGTTAAAAATACTTTAAAAAATAAAAAAGAAAGGTTCCAATGATCGCACGCCACAGCTGTGATCATCGGATCCTTTTTTTTTACCTTTTTAAAGCATTTTAAAACTTTTAAAAAGTTTTTTAAAAGGTTCCCAAACTCGCACGCCACAGCTGATATCCCCCCTTGCTGTTCTACTTATCTTCCCAAGCCTCCTTTTGGCATGTACTGCGCATGTGCGTGTACAGCACGCGTTTGGTGTGTACTGTGCATGCGTGCCCATTTAGCGTGCAGCTCACATGCGCAGCCAGCAAACCAGTAGCAAACCGGTTCAGATTTCAATCACTGGGATGATTTACTTTCCATACTGGAGGCCGGTTGTGTAGTGAACACAGCACTTGTAAAGAAGAACAAATCCAGTGGGATCTTCCGTATCCAGGAAGCCTCCAGGTCAGGAGTTACAAAAAGCAGAAATTTAAGCCAGTCTCTTGTGGCTGGATACTGCAGGTGGCATCTCAAATCAATGGTAATAGCTGAAAAGGACATAACTGATGGCGGCCCAGTTGACAACTCCTGGATTTTAGTTGAGCGGTGGTTAGTTTTGCAGGGACGCGGTGGCTTAATGGTTAAGACGCTGTGTCTTGGACCGTTAAAGGTCTATAGTTCAGCAGTTTGAGACCCGAGTGCCACGAGATGGTGTGAGCTCCCGTCAAGTGTCCAAGCTCCTGCCCACCACGCAGTTCAAAAGCATGTACGTGCAAGTAGATGAATAGGTACTGCATACAGGTAGTCCTAAACTTATGACCACAATGGAGACCAAAATTTATGTTCTTAAGTGAGACATTTGTTAAGTGAGTTTTGCCCCATTTTATGACTTTTCTTGCCACAGTGAATCACTGCAGTTGTCAAATTAGTAACAGGGTTGTTAAATGAATCTGGTTTCTCCCTTGACTCAGCTTGTCAGAAGGTCCCAAAAGGGGATCACGTGACCCCAGGACACTGCGACCGTCATAAGTATGAGTCAGTGGCCAAGCATCCGAATGTAAATCACGTGACCACAGGGATGCTGCAATGGTCATAAGTGTGAAAAACGGCCATAAATCCAGGGGTGAAATGCTCCTCGTTTGGACCGGTTCAGCTAAATTTGTAGCAATGACAGCTGGTGGTTCGGAGAACCGGTAGCGATGGTGGCACAAGGCTCCACCCATCTGCCCTGTCGTGATTACTTTCTGGTTTTAACCAGGAAGTAACCTGTTTTTTACCCTCTGCGCATGCGCAGAGGATCCAAGCAGTCACGCAATGCGTGTACTTCCGAACCGGTTGGGAAGGTAAGTAGATTTCATCCGTGCATAAGTCCCTTTTTTCAGTGCCATTGTAACTTTGAACGGTCACCAAACGAAGTATTGTAAGTCGAGAACTACCTGTCAAACCTTCAGGGACACATGTGCCTTCGTGTTTAGTTTGGTTGAAGGCCATGAATTCAGAGTCCTTTTCAGAGATGTCAAAGGGAGCTTCCAGCCTCTTCCCTCCCCTCGGGGACCCGTCTCTTACTGTCATAGAGAAACGTACGTTGGGTCTCCATCCCAACTACAAAGGGCAAGAACAAGCTTAGGATACTCACCACTGGCGGCACCCAGGAGAGCCAAGCAGGAGAGCAGCCAGACAAGAGCCATCTTGCTTCTGGAGGGAACTAGGAGGAGGGTGAGAGCCGTGGATCCTTATATCGGGAGCAGGGATGGACATGTGGCAGAGAAGAAAGTGTGTCCGGGCTGGTTTCCCACCATCTTATCACTTCAAGACCTTGAAGATAAGCTCAGCTCCCCGCAGGTCAGGCCGAGTGGGTGGATGGGCAAGGGGCCAGGTGACATGGCAAGAAATGGCCATGGGGGGTGTGTGGCTGTGAGGCAGAAGGCTTCTGCTGAAAGCCTCACCCTTCAAACTTGCAACCCATTGACCTGTGTTCAAATGGAGCCCTCTTCAGAACAGAACAGAACAGAACAGAACAGAACAGAACAGAACAGAACAGAACAGAACAGATTAACAGAGTTGGAAGGGACCTTGTAGGTCATCTAGTCCACCACAACCCTGCCCAAGCAGGAGATCAGTGATGGCTAACATTTTTGTCATCACATGCCAAAAGTGGTGTGTGTGTGTGTGTGAGACGCACCTGTGTGTGTCCACACCCATAATTCAATGTATCCCGCCCCTCTGAGCAACCCCTGTTTTTGGTATGTGATGGCATGGTGGGCCGGGTAGGCCGTTTTTTCGCCCTCCCCAGGCTCCAGAGTCTTTCTTGGAACCTGGGGAGGGCAAAAATGGCCTTCCCCACCCCTGTGGAGGCCCTCCGGAGGCCAAAAACAGCCCGTTTCCCGACTTCCAATGGGACTGGAAGCCCCGTTTTTCACCCTCCTCAGGCTCCAGAGGCTTTCTTGGAGCCTGGGGAGGGTGAAAACAGCCTTCCCAACCCCCCATGGAAACCCTCCGGAGGCTGGAAATGGCCCGTTTCCCGACTTCCAGTGGGCCCAGAAGGCCCAAAAATCAGCTGGCCGGCGCGTGCATGCACGCTGGAGCTGAGCTCGGACAACACGTGCGTGCCCACAGATATGGCTCTGCGTGCCATCACCATCATGGCCCTACACCATTTCTGACAGATGGCCGTCCAGTCTCTTCTTGAAAACCTCCAGTGATGAAGCTCCCACAACTTCCGAAGGCAACTTCTGTTCCAGTGGTTGATTGTTCTCACTGTCACAAAGTTTTTCCTTATTTCTAGGTTGAATCTCTGCTGGCTGTGACTTCTAGATGCCTTATTTTGGAGGATACAGTGTTGATGCTTTGGGAATCCTTGCTTAATTAAAATTTGCTTCTCAGTGTACTAATAGTTTAGCTTCCTACAAAAACTTGCAAAGGGAGAGAATGAAACCATTCACTTTTTGGGGACAACCACAAGAGTTGGGGTGGACATGTGTCTCTTTAAGGAACAACCCTCTCTTCCTCTATAAAAATGGGAAACTACTTCCTCTGCTTTCATCCGTGTGGAGCACATGAGATTGCAATTGGTCAAGGCAACAAGAGGGAGCTCTTTGTTCTTTGCACCACGAGGCTAGTTGAACAACTAGCCTTGTGGTGCGACCAGAACAATCTGGAACTGAACACACTCAAAACTATAGAAATGGTGGTAGACTTTAGGAGAAACCCTCCCATAATACCACCTCTAACAATACTAGACAACCCAGTATCAACAGTGGAGACCTTCATTTTTCTAGGTTCTACCATATCTCAAGACCTAAAATGGACACCCAACATCAAAAACGTCATCAAAAAAGCCCAACAAAGAATGTTCTTTCTGCGCCAACTCAGAAAGCTCAAACTGCCCAAGGAGCTGCTGATCCAGTTCTACAGAGGAATGATTGAGTCTGTCATCTGCACCTCTATAACTGTCTGGTAGGGTTCTGCAACCCAACAAGATAGACACAGACTTCAGAGGATAATTAGAACTGCAGAAAAAACAATGGCTACCAACCTGCCTTCCATTGAGGACCTGTATACTGCACGAGTCAAAAAGAGGGCTGTGAAAATATCTACAGACCCCTCACATCCTGGACATGAACTGTTTCAACTCCTACCCTCAAAACGATGCTATAGAGCACTGCACACCAGAACAACTAGACACAAGGACAGGTTTTCCCCGAATGCCATCACTCTGTTAAACAAATAATTCTCTCAACACTGCCGAACTATTCACTAAGTCTGCACTACTATTAATCTTCTCATCGTTCCTATCACCCATCTCCTCCCACTTATGACTGTATGACTGTAATTTTGTTGCTGGTATCCTTACGATTTATATTGACTGTTTCCCTATGACTATCATTAAATGTTGTACCTTATGATTCTTGATGAATGTATCTTTTCTTTTTATGTACACCGAGAGCGTATGCACCAAGACAAATTCCTTGTGTGTCCAATCACACTTGGCCAATAAAGCATTCTATTCTATTCTTTCAAGTCCCTTCAGATTTCATTGCCCCAAATAGCTTGAAATATGTAGTGCAGTAGCATCTTTTTTGAAGCCACTTCCCAATTAGCTGAGTCCCCTGGCAAATTTCAATCACATTGAGGGATCTGTCTGAGCTCAGATACTAAGCAGGTTAGACTTGGTGGTGGCCTCTGAGATTTGTGGCTTGGGAGGCCACCACCATGTCCCAGAGACACAGGCTAGGCTGGGAAGTCAACAAGACATCCTGGAAGAAGCCAAAGGAAGCCACGTTCATGTTCTTCCCAAGAAAACTGTCCATGAAGATCTCAGGAACTGAGCCTGATTCAGAGCTGATTTCACCTTTGAAGTATCTTACAGGTTGCCCTCTGGCTACCTTGGACCTGAACATTCTTGATCCCTGAGAGCAAAGTTTGAATTCCCGGTGGATAACTTTTTATGATTCAACTAAATGATGGAATTAGCTCTTCATTTGATATATCCTTTTGGAAACTGTGCTGAATTGCACAGTGTGAGGCTTTATTTAATTCTCGTCATTAATGACATTAAGAAAGCCTAAATTTTTAATATGACCCATTTAATAAGTTTGAGATGCCCCAATTTGCAGCTTATCCAGTTGCTTCCATCCAGCCAAAATCCTCTCCATGGGGGAAGAAGATGATGTTGGTATTCCTCTGTGTATAGGTGAGTAAGTGCACGTGTGTAAGAGATCAAGAGCCAAGACTGAAGGAAACTTCCCAGGAAAGGGGCTGGAAAGGTTGAAACGAAGGTAAGAAAATCCTCTAGAAGGGTTAGAAGACAGGCCCAAGTAGCCTCCTATATTTTTACATAATCCATGGACTCCTTAATAACAGCAAGGGATCCTCAGGGGAAAACAAGAGAAAAAAGTGCTACTCAGGGCTTGCAAAAATAAGGTTGGCTTAGTTAGCAACTGGGAAGAACTCTGAATGCAAGATCTCCTGCTTCTCTATCAGCCCCAAGTGAGATTGGTAGGATTCACACAACAGGCTCTTCAGTGCTTAACCTAATCTTGGTGCCGTCGGCCACCTAATCCGGGTGCCGTCGGCCAAACAATGTCAACTGGCGGCCCCCAGGGGAAGAGCCTTCTCTGTGGGGGCACCTACTATCTGGAACGAGCTCCCCCCGGAGATACGGAGGATCCCAGATCTGCGTACCTTCCGTCGTGTGCTCAAGACTTTCTTGTTTCATCAGGCTGGCCTGACCTAAGTCTTTCCCCTTTTTAAATGGAAATTTTAAATTTGGTTTTAAATTCAGCCAAATTATTTAATTCATTTTATTCTATTTTAAATTTTGTATTTATATTGTTTTATTTTATGGCTGTTCACCGCCTTGAGTCCTTCGGAAGTAGGGCGGTATAAAAATTCAATAAAACTAAAACAAACTAAACTAAACTTGGCTATTGAATCAATTATTTGCTTTGGCTTGTGCGACCTACATTAAAGAGGAAAGGAGGGAGGGAGGAGAAAAGGAAGTGAGAGAGGAAGGAAAGGAGGGGAGAGAGGAAGAAGGAGGGAGGGAAGGAAGGAAAGGAAGGAAGGGAGAGGAGAGCAGGAGGGAAGGAGGAAAGGGAGGAGGAGGGAGGGAGAAAGGGAGAAAGGGAAGGAAGAAAGAGGAGAGGAGGAGGGAGGGATGAAGGGGAGGAGGAAGGAGGGAGGGAGGGAGGGAGGAAGGAAGGAAGGAAGGAAAGGAAGGAAAGGAAGGAAGGAAAGGAAGGAAGGAAGGAAGGAAGGAAGGAAGGAAGGAAGGAAGGAAGGAAGGAAGGAAGGAAGGAAAGTGCTGGATCATTCCAAAAATCCAAACATGACTATGGCCTGATCTTTTAACGGAGATGCTGTTCATTTGTATCCAGGGAGACCTGTGGAAACTTGGAAGGGTTTGAACCTGATTCCTAGAAAGGAACAGAGAGGATTGGTTAGCTGACGATGGTGGCTTATCTCCAGTTTATCTCCAGCTATTGGCAGGGAGAACCTCTTGCATAAGAGTAGCAGGTGTTCGTTCACTTTAGCTGTGAACATTCTGGCAGGAAACAGGTGCGTTGTTGGGAGGAGAAGGCCAGGTGGCTTCTGAGGACCAGGTTTAGGTGATAACAAGCCTCCCTTTTCTATTGCTAACATCTGTCACCAAGCTGGCATCAGGAAAGAGCTTGTGACTAAGCAAGTGCCGTTCGTGGAATTTCACAGCTGATCTGGAGGTCACTGCCTTCCACTCCAACCCTGCAGAATTCTCCCACTCTTTTTTTCCATAAGTTTTCTTTAACAGCACCTATACTTTTTAGTTAGTTAGCTTACTTTATTGATTAGCCCATGGGTCATATCAAAGTGCAGAGTTCCAAACACAAATTATTACTAAAATCCGATAAAAACAATTTAAAATGGGATGGGAATAAAATACAATTTAAAATGAAATTGGAGTAAAATACAACAATTTAATATATGGATAAAGAAAATATGATAAAATTATATTTCAGTGTCACCCCTACAATCTACCCCAATCAGTCCCACATACGCCAATCTCAACGGAACCATTTTGCTTAAGTACCGTGCTGTGTTTAAATGTTGTTTTCGAATTCTGGCCCCACATAAGGTAAGTTGTTTTGATATGGGGTTCCCAATGGGTCTTTCGTTTAATATTTATACCAGGGGTGGGTTCTAATTTTTT